GTTACTTCAGAAATTATAAAAACAGCTGAGCAAACTCACATTAACAAAAGTACTAGTGAACACCCTCCTTAAGATCTTTCAGAATTTCGTCATAAACCACAAAATAAGAGAAAATAAGGCACAAATCCTTTTTTTCTGTGCATCATCACTAACTCCCTCTGTTTAATATTTTTCAGTCTTTAAAGTAATATTTATGTAAGAGTGCTGTGATGAATAATCAATGTGCAGTGCAACAGAAATGAAAAATCTGCTTATTTTAAAGTACATTTACACTTCAAGCTTATGTGCTGAAGCGAGATGCACTCTGTGTGCTGCAAAACTGGCTGTAGTTCCAGTCTGTTCTTTACCCACTTAATCTCTGGTTGTTGACCTGGACACTGAAATAAAACAATGAAATGCATGTGTTAGGAGACACATGGTCCAAAGTTACACTGAAGTTATTTTCTTAGTGTGACTTTTTTCTTTATTTCTAGATTAGGGAGGAGATAATTCAAAGCCATTCTCTTGCAATCGGGAGCAGAAGATTGTACACACGATCCCCTTTCATTGCTTCTTTAGTTCCCAAAGTTCAGGCAGCTAAATTTACACAGAACAGGAGAAATGGCAAGTATCCTTATTTATTGTGAAAAGTTCACACTAAAAATCTCTCTCTACTTTGGTAACTTTTTGAGTTGAACACAAGTCCTGGGGCAGCCAGGAGCCTGCCAAAGAGCTGCCTTGCTGATTCCACTCATCAGAAAATGCCAGGCTCTCTGGAGGATGCCAACAGGATGAGGACCACCGGCATGCTCGGAGCTCACATGGGTGAGTTCTGGTGAATACCACTACTCTGGTTTGCGCCATTACTGTGATACCGAATATAAAGAAATACTAAGGAGACATATGGTTCTCTTTGTTGAAACAAAGTAGCTAAATGTTCCCTAGACTGGATATTCCATAGATAAAAGGAATCCTTGAAGCTCTGTGTGCAGGGGTGGAATAGACAAGGAAGTTATGCTGAAATCAGCTACTGCAACTAGGCGAAAAGACTGAGTTCAATTAGCGGACACGGTGAGGAAGACTGTCGACGACCACCAGAGGACCCTGAAAGACCACCAATGAACATAAGAGCGCATGCGTTAAAGACTTTTACATATGTTAATGAGTTCCAAGAAAGAACATGAATATGCTAATCATTTCTCGGAAATCTAATGGATATGTATATTCTGATTGTACATAACTCCTATAGTTGAGCAGCCCGGCGCCTACACTAGGTGGAGCGATCCCCTGTGCGTCCAGCGCCGCAATAAAGAATGCCTGCTTTCTAAAACTCCAAACTGAGTCTTAGAGTTTTTCATCTGCCGACTTACGGTAACAACTGCACCCTGTGACGTGCACCATCCCCAAAGGGAACCCTGGAGAGTGGACCACGTGCTGCCGTCTGTTCCAGTGCTTAGCCTTAGTCCACTTGCAGACTTTACAAGAAGGCCCTGGACCCTGCACTGCAGTGGCTGAGAGGCAGGCATGCAATCCATCCCCTGCTGTAGGGCTCGAAGCCTTCCAGAAGGGCCTAAACAGCCAGCTGAGACTGAATTCACCTTTGTTTGCCACCTGTTTGCTACATGAATGTGGTAATCAGATCCTTCAGTTTGTATACCAGTGACATCACTGAAGAAAATATTTTCATGACTGATGCCCTGAAATACAGTGTGATCCCTTTTTTCCCCACAAGGAAAAAGCAAGAGGAGCAAGCTGTTGGCGCCACTTACTGCAAAAAGATAGACAGCTTGCTCCAGAAGGCAGATTTTGTGATGGCGGTGGTGAGCCTGACGCCTCTGACAGATGAGCTGATTGGGAAAAGAGAGATGGAGCTGATGAAACCTGCAGCTACTCTCATTAACATCAGCCGAGGTACCATCCAGAACCGTTGACTGGCCTGACGAGAAAGTATGAGCCAGCTCCTGTTGTGTTACGTGCAGCACCATGCTGCATCCACTGCACCGCTGGTGCGTACACCGAGGACAGATCAGGCATGGCGAAAATTCCTCTCTCTCCCCTTCTAGTCTCTTTTCACTCTCAGATCATTACCTGCAAATGGCACCCAGAGGCACTCTTATTCCAAACCAGGTGCAGTAGTTGACCAAGAGGCCCGGCGACAGCTCTGCAGACCGGTGTTCTCAGGGCCGCAGCTTTGGATGTCACCTACCGGGAACCACTGCCCAGGTTACCATCTCTGCTTGTTTCTCAGAAAGGATGCCTGAGGCCTGCGGGAGGCAGGAGGCATCCCTGCAGCAGGCGGGGATCTGGCAGAGGCAGCCCCAGCCGCCCCCGGGGTGGAGGTTTCTGTAAAAGTGCCATGAATACGAATGGGATGCAGCCCAGATGTTGGGTCTGATAACAGGCCAAAGGGAAGCCTGGGCGCCAGGAGACAGCAGGAGGGGGCTTGTGTGCCAAGGGGAGCATTAAACCCCCTCCGCAGAATCACCACATGAAGCTGCAGCAGTGCTTCACTTACAAATTGCTTTATCTGAAGGTGCAACTTGCCGTGAATGGGTGGGAGCTGCTTGAGCCATCCCTTCTTAGACCTGCTGCATTGCCCCGAGGTTTCCCTCCCTGCAGGCTTGTTTCCCCAGTACAAGGCTGAAGTACTGCAGGTCTCTTGGGCCCAGAGGCTACTTAGCTTCTGTGAAAAGACACCTGTACCAGAATGGTGCCTGGTGGAGTTAACTGTGCTCGCTGCATTTTGGGTCGGGGGGAATTTGGTCTTGTTATGTCTGTGTGCCAGGACGTCGCCGTCCACTATCTGAGTCGAGTGACTACAACTCAGACCATTTTGTAGCGTTAATGTGTCAGGAGGACTTAATCCTGTCTTCTGACATAGTTCAAATTGCTGCCTGAAGGCAAAAGTCTGTTTCTGGACAAAAGAGCACAGTAAAAACTCTTAACATGTCCTTTTAATGTCCAAAATTACTTGGACACAGGTGATCAAGTTCTGTGGATGTAAGTGGGACTTGTAAAGTTATATTAAATTAACTTTATATTTAAATACAGAGCAAAAGCCAAAGTAGGACTCGTCTTTATTTGGGCAACAACAGTAGGTAACTTAACTACCTCTTTTTTCCTTCCTTCCAGAGATCATATGTTGTTAAAATTAAAGAACATCATTCTAATGCCTCACCTCAGCATTAAAACAGACAAGGCCACCTACATGATAACCGAGGAAGCAGCTGAAAACATACTAGCAGCTCTTAATGGTCTCCCCATACCCAGTGAAGTGCTCCCTAGCTGATGTGCAAAAGGATATCACAGCTCTCCTTTTATTCTTCTCTTCCCCCCCCATCAGCTCTAAAGATTTTTATTCTTACGTTTTCCTTGTTAAGAGAAACCTGTTCCAAGCGGGCACAGAAAGCTCTGGCTGGATCTCACATGTCATTAAAAAACAGCTTTTACATTTTAATTTCCCTGCAAAGTGGAGGAATACATTATTTTTCACTTCCAACCATAGATAGATGCATGCAGGCTTTAAGTGGCTCTGGGAAAAACAACTTCTCATTGCCAATGCACTTACAGTTCTTGCTAGGCTCCCTAGTCCTGAAGAAAATGACATTTTAGATTACATAATTCACTTTGTTCCCATTCTATTAGCTACCAAAAACAACAAAATAAGCTACCTGGCTAGAAATATTATTGATTTTCCATATGGAAGTCTCCATTTAAACTAGCTCCTGAGACACAAAACGCTGAGGCAAAAGTCAGTTTTCAGAAATGTACTCAGAATCACTTATTCAAAGCAGACTGGATTTTAGAAGACAATTTAAAGTACTAGCACTAAGGAAAATTAGTCTTCAAGATGAACATGCTACTATGTTTGTAATACCAAATTTACGTGCAGTCTACCTCCAGGTTTTGAACATTGTGCAAATATTTCGACGAACACTTGGAGCCCTCTAAGCCTCCAGCACCATTCTGTAAATTAGTGGGAACACAAAAGTCTGTAAAAACACACACAGCATTAAAATCCACATCTATACATTTTCCTTTGTATCACTGCTTTCCACCTCCTAAAGCTTTGTAGAAAACAGTTAGCTGTCCTCTCTCTTGTCTTTATATACTCCCTGTTGTCTTAATACAAGTCCAAAAGACAAATAAACCAATACACAATTCAAAGTGGCAGTGCTATGCATTTTATTATGTAATATGACTTTATGAGTAGTATGATTATTTAATCTATCAGTAAAAATTATAGGAAAGTTGCCATTTAGTGCAGCTAGGATGTTGCCTGTAGTCTCATGCATCTTTACAGAGCCATTTCCACTTCCTTTTCCTTGCAGAAGGTTGCCACTGGTGCTTGCCAAAAGACACTTTCTTCCACCAGTTTAACATACGATGATGTTACCAACTCTTGCAGCTCAGGGAAACAAAACATCGCAGCTTTTCAGGAGCAGCAAGTTGGCTGGCAAGAATTTCAGGACTGCCCCAGGTACCTTCCTGTTATCTGAGGTACAGACGCCCGGTATGCCTTTCATTGTCGCCTGTATGACCTTGACAAAAATAAGTTTAGTCTTTCAAAATAAAAGGCTAGGCAACAAATTACAGAGCTGAAAACAAAAGCTACCAGAAGCTAAAATAGAAGAGAGAAAAAAAATACCTCTTATTAGATCAATGTCCTAAAACTGGAAAAAACACACAAGGTTTTGCACAGGCAAACTTTTCTCCAGACATGACGCAGCAAACATAAAATCAGATACAGTACTTCATTTCACTTCTACATAAAACAATAGAACACACTTGGCATTTGCTTGGAGTTTTACTTCTACTTTTGCAGATATTTCAAGAACCTGGGCTGATTAGTTACAGAATTGGTCCCTGCAGGTGGGGTGCTTTAGACAGGAGGACACAGCGCTAGACAACAGGATACCTGTCAGTCATTGGAGTGATGGGTTGACTCACACACAGCGCCTAACG